TTATATATCATTATTATTATCATTATATATTACTCCCTCCGTTACAAATACCATCTCTGCTACACTGTAGACACGGTATTTTAGGAGTGGTATAATTAATAGATAATTAAGAATGTATTAGTGAAAATAATTATCTTATAATATAAATAATTATAAATTAAGATCAAGATAACTAATTAGTTTAATTAAAATTTAAAAAATAAAAAAATAAAAGGTTTAAAATGAGATTAAAGTGTGTAATCATTTTCCAAAAAAAAGTGACATGGTATGTGGGACGGACAGAAACGGCAACGTGGACATGGTATGTGGGACGGAGGGAGTATTATTTTATATATAGTATGTTTATATATTATGTTTTATATTTATAGCTTATCAATATTTATGTATTTATACCCTTGTTGTATTTTGAGCCATTCGGTTGTATCATTTTTCGTTTGAATAAACACGGTCGCTTATATTAATGTTCTAAATTTGATACACTATGATTTATGGGCTGCTGCGTCCATGGCTGCAGTAGCATCTGCAAGGAATTTCATTGTTTTGATCATGCTTCAACTAGGATCAGTAGTACTTGACATGTCCAGTTTCATGAGCTTTGTTTTCTGTTATTTCAAGAGTCAGTCTTCCACTCCAATTTCAGATTTCATTGTCTCAACATTCCTCGACACATCATGTCCATATTTTATCTCTCAACCATCTAATTGTACTCTTGATCGTGCCGTTGTGCGTGGCTCAGCACCCATCCTATCCGATCTGACGAGTCTCCGTCGGTAGTCCTGCCTGGCCCAGCAGCTCCTGTTCAATGTGATCTCCTTATGCAACCCATTGCTCTAGATCCTGCCCTTGATCTTGTTGTGCCACTTTCCGGACCCCCAAAAAACCCTATGATTACTCGGAGCCAGGCGGGCATCTTCAACACTTGTTATCCAATTGATTTGACATCTATATCTCTGCAATCGCTCTTGTTGCTACATCTATGCCTCATGGTTTTAAGTGTGCTTCTAAACACCTGAAACGGCTTACAATGATTCGTTCCAACTAAACATGGGATCTAGTACCTTGTCCATGTGGTACTAATATTTTCTGGATTGAAATGGGTCTTCCCTATATAATTTAATGCCGACGGATCAATTGAAAGGCACAAAGCCGTGTTGTTGCCCAGGGCTTTACCCAGATTCCTGGCACTGACTTTCATCACACACCAGTTATTAAGGCTGCGAATGTTCACATCACTATGGCGCTCTTTCTTTGGTATAGTTGGCCACTTTATCAACTTGATGGAAAATGGTGTTCTAGAAAATTAGTATTTATGACATAACCTCCAAGATTTTTGACTCCTAGTGCCCTACTGATGTTTGTAATTTGAAAAGCCCTATACGGTCTTCGTCAGACACCTCTTGCCTAGTTCCAAAGATTTAGCTCATATTTTGCTAGATTTTGTTGAAACAGAATTTTGCCCAAGGATGAATTTCTTATTTCTGGAACATGGTTTAAAATAGACTACAATGCGAAAAGAGAATTAATATCATAGTTTAATGTCTACGACTTATTGTAACGTAAATGATGGGATTACAATCATTCAAAATTTTAAATTCCATGATTATTTTGGCAACAACAATTTATTTTTCTCATAATATTCATCAACCAAAATTAACTCCTATCAATTTCCTCCTTAATTTTGTAAATCAGAATTAATGTCTGTCAGTTTTACCTTCCTTCAAAGTCACTGTGATCCGTCTTTATTTTACTTTCAGCGTGGTATATTAGTTATTTGTTTGTTACTCTATATGTGGATGAAATTATTGTTATAGGTAATAATAAATCACTGTTGGTTTCTTTTATCTCTCGTACGCATGGCATGGCGAGTTCACTATTGAGGATCTTGGATGACTAAGTTATTTTCTTGGCCTTGAGGTTTCTAATACTTATGAGGGCCTTTTGTTGGTCGAGCCAAGTATGCACATTATATTCTTTGCAAGCTGGCTTCTTGGAGTCTAAGCCTGTCTTAACCTCTTTAGCGGCCCGAGAATCTCTTGTCAACGGTGGTTTTCCAATTCATGATCCTATTGTGCTCTTCAATATCTAACCATCACCCATTCTGACCTTTAATATGCAGTTAGCTCGTTCAGTTAATTTCTTCAATCGCCAATTGATGATCATTTTTTGGCAGTGAAGTGTATCCTTAGATAAGTTAAGGTACTTGGCACTTTTGTCTTTCCCACTACTAAGAGTTCCAACTCTTTGATCATCATATGGTACTCTGATGCAGATTGGGAAACATAATTTGAAGCGCCGAAAACAATCTTCAGTTGCTAGCTCTAGTTCTGAATCTGAGTACCGGGCCTGGCGAATGCGGCTTCCGAATCCTTTTAGGTGGCGAATCTCCTTCGTGAGCTTTGTACAAATTTGCTCTCGCAGTCTACTCTTTTCTGTGGTAATAAGAGCGATATATTCCTTAGTCAAACTCCGGTGGCGCAAACCAGCTAATCACATTGATTTGGACGATCACTTTGTTTGTGAGTTTGTCCGTTCCGGAAATTTAGTCACCAATGTTCTGCCTTCTTAATTTTCTTTTAGTTATATTTATTAATATAAATATTGATATTTGAAATTTATTATCGTGTGACTAATGCTAGTTCTAATTAGACTGTTATGCTGTAAAGTCTTGAACTTTATTGAACACCTATGCTTAGCACCAGCAATCGAACTTGTCGTTAAGCTCGCCGGGTTCCACGAGGGTGGAACCTCCCCCAAAAGAACATATAGTATTGAAGGCATTCAATCATTTCTTCTATAAGGTAAGCTGTCATTTCTTAACTAATGACAGGTTTCTCCCAATTTATTAATATCAATATAAGGACTTCAAATCTAACGTGAAAGTCTACAACCGGCTCCCGATAGAAGAAATAAGTTCCAAACGATACTTCCACTAGCCATCAACTCGCCAACAAGGAAAGTCACTTCCTGAATCCTACGAGTGGAAAACATTCAGGAGGATCAACAAAAGAAGCAACATAGGAGTCATTTCCTCTCAAAGTTCTTTTCCAAGGTTGTTATTGGTAAAAAGAGACTTCTAGAAGTCAACCAAACTGAGGGCAGATGCCCTATAGTCCCTCGTATAATTTCATACCAAAACGAAGATTCAATTTCAGGTAATGGACAAAAAGGCCACCTCAATCCGGGAAAGAAGTTTGGTACGAATCCGTCGCCAACATCTATCAATACCATCAGAATGCAACTGGATAAAACCCAAGCGCCACCCCATCTTAAAAAAAGTTGGATGCCTTTGTGGGAGGCCATATTTGAAAGTCTCAGACAATTATCCAAGCTTCAAAATAAAAATTGACTTTGGAAAGTGTATAATCCCAAAATGCAGTAGTAGACTTAAGTTACAAAAAAGACGGAAAAGTATGATGAGTAATGTCGGTGGACCAGGTGGTGATCACTCTCCAGCCTACTCAATGGCCTAGACACCCTCTGGCGGATGAACGATGGGTGTTGAAAAAGCAAAAAGAGAAAAAGATGCCGTTGACAAGGAAAAAAAAATGGTGGAAAAAGTGCCAATGCTAGGAAGTAAGCCTGTAGTATGAAGTCCGGTTCCTAGAAGTTAAAATAGAGATTTGACAGTCCAATTTTCAGGATAAAGTTGGAAATGGAAGGGGATGACTTGCATCAATAATTGGAAACCCATAAAGAGTGGAGCCCGAAGCAATAAATCTTGGAATCCGGCCTTTCCGCTAGACATTTGCCCCATAATCTGATTGGATTTCCATATTGCTTTCCAAATGATTTCTCACACAGAATTCCCAAGAGTTTTCCATTTTGTCTTCTTGGTTGATCTTAAGTGAAGTCCTGAAGAATTTTTAGACATCAATGCAGTCTTCCTAATGCATTTTCACACCATCATCATGTTGAACTTCCACACCATGTTCTTGTTGAACCCCGAGGGATGTCCTAGAGTTTGATTGAACCTTCCTGTTGGATCTCAAAAAGTTCAGGTAGGCCAATAGGCCACGAAGATCAAGGACCTTCGTACTAATTACTCCCCAGCATACTCAACAACCAGGATATTTACACACCAAAATAATAGGTGGATTAAAAATGGCGAAAAAGTGAAAACCGTTTAGGCGGAGACTGATCCACTTGTTGAGGATTCCAATAGAAGGAATGAATGCAACCTTACTACTAACGGTTTTTAAATTTGAGTGAAAGCTAACCTACAACCTAATCTATTAAAAGTGCTAATGTCTGAAGATAATCAGCTCATGCATGAGTTGGAGAATTGGATCAGGAGGCTATCTTTTCAAATAGGCGATTCACCATTTATATAAATGTTTCATTTGCAAGTACATTTGAAAAGACAAGTTATTCAAAACACTTTTTTACATTTACTATGGAATGCAAATAAATAAAACAAAATGCTGAGAAAGTTTGCCCATGTATTTGTTTTTGCAGGGGTACTCTTTCTCCATGAATATCTTCAATGACCAGACAATTATGATATGCCAACATGTATATATGATTTCATTCACTTCAGATTTTATAAAGATTAGTTTGTCTACATTTATTTAGTTTTAATGGAAAGTGTGCTGATATTTAAAAATCCATTTATTTTGTTTTAAATTTTGAAGATTTTACATCATTTAATGAATTTAAAAATTAAATAGAAACTTAATATTTGGAATCTATTAATATACAGTTGATTGTATAATTTTTTTGTTTAAATAAAAATTAAAAAAATGATAGGTTTCTTTATGCAATATTTTGTCATAGTTACTCAATGGAATTTAATTCAATTCATTTTTATTGTTGGAGAATTATCATGAATATAATTTTGTTTTTTATTTTATAAACTTATGTTGAGTTTTGGGTTCATACCGGAACACGTGACCCAATTTTCCCCCTGATGCGGATCTTATCCGTTCATTCTAGGGTTTTAATTCTAACAGTCAATTCATTCATATATATATATATATAGATGAATGTTGTCCTCCATTCTGAGATCTGGGCAGCCGCTTACATTCTCTCTCTAAATAGAGTTCTGTCTCCGTTTGCGTTCTGGCTTCTTAGTTTGCTAAAGATTTTCGGTGGGTCTAGCTTTGAAGAGGCAATTTTGCTGTGGGATAATTCCGGAGAGATTATTGAGCTTTTTAGATGCGGTTTTCTTCATTTTGAATTGTTTTACTCCAAGGGATTAGGTTTATTTGGATCGGATAGAGGGGTCGCCGGTGCCGTTGGACTGAGATTGATCGTCCCTATTTTTGCCTCAAGGTTAGTGTTATAAATCTGTGCAATAAGTTGGAATTCTTTGTTGGTGTTTGTTTACTATTTTGTGTGTTTCGATTTTCTACTAAACTATAAAATTGATGTGAATCGATTCATTCTACATTCGATTAATTTTAAAAATCCAAACATTGCACTAGCATGATGACAATGGCTTTCTCTTTTTGCAGTGTGAGAGAGAATTTCACGTCTGATATTTGAGAGAGAAAAGGATGGATGATTTATGGGTTTGCTACATTAAAACTGATTATTTTTAGTTTACTAACAACTTATTGATTCTTTTCTTGGTTAATGGTTTCATACACACTGCAGGCATTGCCTGAACATGAATGGTTATGCAGTGAACAACGCAAGTGGATTCATTCACCTCTTCGGAAGTTTGTGAAGATTTTAAAGAAGAAAGTTAATGGAAAAGCTTCAAAGCCGAGCCCAAATTATTTCAATATGAAGTGAAGAACTGGAATAGGAAAAGACAAGGAAAAGGAAAGAACACCACTAGAACTATATAACTTGGTGGGATGTTCTTACCATGGTTTTTTCTATCTTAGTTATATATCCTGGTGCATGGTTTTAAATAGAAATATTCTGATGTATTTTATATGAGTTGTTCGGAAGAGATATCCAGATTTGTAGTATTGGGTTGTCTACTGTTTGTTGTCGTAATGTTTTTAGGTGTTCAGATTTAGGCTTGTTTGGTTTTCTTTTAGGATCAGGACTCAATTTCAGGTGTGAAAGTTTGCGACTGAACAGGGCATCAGTTATGCACTTCCTGTGTTGTCTAGCAATGCATTGAGTAAGCATTTTCTTGCTGGATGTGCATCAGCGATGCATCCTCCTGTCGTTTCGTTGATCACTGATGATTTCTTCTCAGTCTAGACAAATTTTAGATTGTTTAAAATATTTTATTTCCTCATTTGTGAAAACTAGTTTTCGATAGTGCTGAGAATTTGAGTGTTGAATCAATTTCTAGTGTAATAATGATATTCAAATTGTAAAAATGTTTCACATTGGGACATCGACTTTGTTTGGCGCTTGAACGGAGTTTATCATAGTTTATGAAGGTAGATATTGTTAGTTTTATATCACTTATGGTCCAAGAAATAATGAAACTGAAGGCAAAAAATATAAAAAAAAATGGAGAATAATAAAAATATAGGAGGAGAATTAAAATATATGCCAATTGAATTTTTATTTCCTAACTTTTTTTACTTGGGACGTACATGGGGAGACTTGAGGGACAAACCTCCATTTTCTAGTGAGAGCCATACATGGCATTGCTACGATTATTTTTGGTATATATACATAGATAAATATATAATCTTGTTACTTCCACATATTTTGGGCTTTTGGAAGATATTGCTAGCCCAGCCCGAAGGAGTAGATGAGCAGGCACAAATAACCCCAATGGAGAAAATGGTGGGACAAAAAGAAGGGAAGTGGGGAAAAATTAGCAACATGGCCTAAAATAAAGGAAAGTGTGACACTTGGGCAATTAGGGAGAAGAAGAGGGGACAAACCTACATGGCTGTAACAAATTCAGTCCACTATTTTTTTTTTTGTCTCTGCATAATTTCATTGTTTTTGCCTTATTTAAATTCTCGTCAGTAATCGTACCAGCTTCCTTTCATGCGTTGAAGTAATCTTAATTTCTTTCGTCATTATTTCTACGCTTTTCACTTAAGTCTAGTACCTCAATTCCTGAAAATTTTTATACCAATTGATTTTTGCACGAGACTTAGCCCGGATACTTTCTTGAGTAGGCCAAGGAACCTAATTCACATCGATATCGACTGTCCTAATCTATTTGGCCGTCATCGACGAATTTCAGTTATAACAAATCTATAGTTTCGTTTGAGCACTATGAATTTGCTTCTAATCAAGTCTTAAGATTCGAATTGCAGTGACAATATTTAACATTGGGGACATAGATTAGTTCAATGGCGTTTAATACAATTGGTTTGGGCAAACACAATGATCATAGTATTAATTGGTTTCAAGGAGAGATTGAAGATTGGAACTGTAGAATATGATTTTTCTACGGGCATGCTATATTGAGATTAAATGTCATTTTAACATTGGGGACATAGATTGGTTAAATGTCATTTTAAAAAATTGTCAAATGTAAAATAGGCATAACATCAAACAAATTAAAGTCATGGTAAGTTCTATGATTTGCAAGTTGGAATATTGTGACTATATCCTCAGTGAAGGAGCCGGCATGGCGGATCCTAAATCACTTGGGATACATGTGCCCTCACTTTACATGGCGGATCCTAAATCACTTGTCGAATGTCTCGTGTGCTTATTGGCCGGTAAACTTTTTGAGCTAAGAAATGATATTTTTAGTATGCTTTCAATTAAGATCGAATTCAGCAAATCACATATGCATTTTCTTTTCCCTCAATGTCACTGCACCATATACCTAGGGAATTCTACAAATCTTGTTTGCCAACTTGTAACACGCCTTTTAAATCGGTTGATGAACGGGACAAGGAGTGTATAGCATCCTATCTGCATAAAAGAACGCAGTCTAAGTGGTAGATAGAGGGCGTTTTCCAAATTATGACAATTACATAAAGGGATATCGCTGCTACTTGAGAAATGTATCAATTTCATGTCAACGAAAATATTAAAAAAATAATACAATTTTCTTGTATATGTTGCTTTCATGTCAACGAAAATATTAAAAAAATAATACAATTTTCTTGTATATGTTGCTTAAAGTTGAATGATATTGTTGATTTATTACACGTTCACTCTCACATGACACGAGTCTCAACTCTTCAACATTTAAAAACTTGTAGCTGTGTTTATATTTTTATTTATGTTTAACGGTCCGATCGTATGCTTTTCTAAGCATTTTTCTTGTGTAAAATTTATACACTTGATTTAACTTGGGTGGTTTAAGATGTATAATCAACTATCTTATAATTCATATTTTTTTTATTGTATAACTATTTTTTCAAAAGATGAAAATTTTAAGTTGGAAAATCAAATTACAGAAAGAGTAAAAAAGAAAAAAAATAATAATAATAATCACTATCAGAAAAAACTTAATTCGGCCTTGGAAATTGTCTTGGAATAAAATGGAAGACTATGAAATACATATATATTAAATATTAAATCAACTAAAGCCACATTACATATATATTTTATTATATATATTACTCCCTCGTGACATGTTTTTTCATCAATATTTCTATTTATTTGTCGTTTCATTTTTAAGGAAATATAATTATAGACTTTAATTATATTTAAAATTTCATAATTTATAATTTTTAATCTTAATTATACTATTTAATTATCACTGCCAAAAAATATTTAATTAGCTACAACATTTTTAACTACAAAATATTTTTTTTAGTTAAAATATGTCATTTAGCAACAAAAATTAATTTAATCGCTAAAAATAAATTATTTAGTACAAGGTTAATTTTGTAGCTAATTTTTTTTTTTTGTTGTTAGAAAATTCTATTTTATAGCATAAAGGTTTTAGCTGCGAAATTATTTTTCAATAACTACAATCATTTAGCTGAAAAAATCATATATATTTTGTTATATGAATTTTAATTATATAGCAAAAGAGCTAGATCTTTACAAACGCCGGACAAAATAAGTTTTGACGCAATTTCCAAAACCATATTATATATTATTTTATTATGTTGAAAAACTTCAGAAATTTTTTAGCCTTTCAAATGGTCTCCCAATATGTTAATAATCTTCGAAAATTTCTGAGCCTTTCAAATGGTCTAAGAATTTCCGAAGTCATACTATTACATATTATTTTTGTTATATTAGAAAGGTTCGGAAATTTCCTAAGCTTTGTTATATATATTATTTTATTTAATGAATAAGCTTCAGAATTTCCGAACCCTTAAAGAAATTCAAATTCCCCCCTCTTCTCCTTCTTCCTCTTCCCCTTTTTCTTCTTCCCCTCGTTCTTCTTCTTTTTCTTCTTCTCCTACTTCTCCTTCTTCTCCTCCTCCAGCTCCTTCCTTTTCTTCTTCTTCTTTAGCTCAGTCTTTTGTTCATCTTGTTCTGTGAAGAAGCGTCACCCTCGGAGGAGAAACGCCACACTGTTGATCTGTTGCTAGTATGCCTAAGAGAAGCTCTGAAGTCGAGTCGTCGGAGAAGAAAACCGCGTGCCCAAAGCTGTTCGGATCTGTCCTACTGCTGCCGGAATGTTACGTTGCTGGAATAATCTGTCCGGGCAGAGAGAGTTCACCGCCAGAGAATTCGCCGTAGTCTTTCACTGGTCGGAATGAACAATTCCGAAGATGTCATCGGCCTATTTTTTCTCTCAGTTTCAAATCAGAATGGAACATCAGAATGGAGTGTATTTGCTTTACTTAATCCTGTTTGTTTGTTTAATTTTGATTTTCAGTTTTTAGCCTTTGGAATAATTGTAGATCGGTATTATTACTTATTTGAGTTTTTTTCGATTATTTCTTGGGCTCCTTTTCTAATTTTAGTTTGTTTGCAGTTTGGGCCGATTATTGGCTTGGGAAAGAATCCCGCGTCCCGGGTCGCCGGAAAATTTCTCCGGTGATCCGATTTTGAATTCATTTTTTTTTTGTAAATATTTAAAATTGTTTCGGAAAATCCTAAACAATTTACAGACAATTGAAAATATTACCACACACCCATATGGCTGTTGCTTCAGATTTGGTTTCAGAAATTCCAAGGCTACTAAAAATTTCCTCAGAATTTCTGAGACAACTAAAATAGCAACATTTTTTACTCTTCGGGCACCATGACTGGATTGTTTTGAGTTCTAAAGATGGCACCGGGCTGGGGTGTGTGAAGCCATCCAGCTGGGTTATAGACACTGATAGCAGTACTTTTCACAAAGTTCGTTCATTTTTGCGTTCAGTTCTATGATTTTTTCGAGCTGGATAATGGCAATGCTTCTTCTATTGAGTCTTTGTCCTTAAATCATCTTAGTTGCTGAAAGAGGAGAGTGTAATACCCCGGAGTTGAATAATTATATGAGTCGGTGATGATGTGATACCCCATGTTGAATAGAGATAAAATGAATTCAATAAACTACTAATGTCAACAATGTACACATTCTTTTTTGGTAGCTCTACTAAAAGACTTGTGTCGACCTGTGAGGCTAGTCTAATTCCGACACGTCCGGTCGAACCAGAGTGTCACAATTAGTATCATAGTCAACCTGCGACATCCCACTGTTGTTGATTAGATTAGACTGTAAATAGGCCTTGTAGTTGATGGATATACCTTGGTGACACGCCGGGTCCAGTATGAATTGTGGGCCAGGGTGTCACAGTTGTTATCTGTGTTGTAGACTGGAGTATTTAGGACCCACCAGTTAATGGATCCTTGGGGTGCGTAAGTCGGGGAGGAGGTGTAGAAGCAGCTTCTGAGTAGAAAGTGCTGAAGCAGCTTTTGGAACAGGAGGTGCAGGAGCAGCTGCTGGAGCTTGAGTTGTAGGCAGTTGTGGAAAAGTCTCACCCAGACCAGTACTCAAAAACATTCCTTACCCGGACCAGTAATCATACGGCGTGAGACATATGGTGGTCGAGTTGGGGTGTGACATTCTCCACATCATATGGTTTAAGGTCATCGACAATATCATGATCAAAGAAAGAGAAGATGTCCAAGGCATGACACGGTGTGAAAG